TTCCACCCTCAATACCACGACTGAGGTGAGACCCTTGAGCAAGGCACCGAACCCCCAACTGCTCCCCGGGCATCGCAGCAATATGGCTGCCCACTGCTCCGGGTGTGTGTTCACTACTGTGTGTGTGCACTTGGATGGGTTAAATGCAGAGCACAAATTCCGAGTATGGGTCACCATACTTAGCCACACGTCATTTCACTTCATGTTGATGCATAACCTAAATAATTTTATCGGGAGCGTTCATATGATCGATCACTGCTACAGTCACCCCAAATGGGCCTAACCACCCGGACTCTCATTGGTTGAGACGCGTGATGACGCCCATCCCAAGCCAGTACTGATCAACATCCCACGCCTCCTGTGACCCATGGTTTGTCTGTATGTGTATTCACAGCCAGTAAGCAACGGACTTTCAAAATAATAATAATAATAATAATAAAACCGCATTAATGCGCCATAAAATAATTGTCGGCGTTAATTAATTAATGCGTTAATGTGATAATAACGCGTTAACTTGCTCAGCCCTAATACATACACACATAGCACCATCTGTTGGGGAGTATTGGGTCATTCACCCCACTCTCAATCCCAGCACAAGGATCGAGAAAATGAGAGATTAATTGCATTGTCATTTGTAGCTAAATTAATGTATTTTGGGATAACATTATGCCTCCAGAAAGGTAAGTGTTGTCATTTTTACTATTTTGACAGCTATTTTGAATGTCTGCAATCTTCAGTATTCCGTTTATAATGACAATCCATATTTTTTCAAATTTTCTAAATAAGCCCCTAATGACAACTAATATAGCAATGTGAATGACAACATTATCAGAAATTAACAATTAATTAATCTTCATGTCTTTAGGCACAACAGCACAAAATTAGTTTCCAAACGCTGCGACGACTTCAGAGAGAAGACTCAGCCGCAAACAGGCAAAGTTCATGATCCGTAAGTCATGGTTGAGCATTTTTGTTAAATACTAATGATATTTTCACAGTTTCTGCCACTGTGTAAATCATCTTTTCTGTCTGTGCATTCATTTATAGAATTGCAGAGACATTAAACATTCCCAGTGATCACACATTGATGAAACCTGACAGCTTTGGTAATTTAAATCGTCTGTCACATTCTGAGTTTGATATGTCAGAAATAAATTAGCAGCCAGTATCGTAGAGAGTTTATGGTTTACTCTTGGTTGGTGTGAAAAATATTGTTGGGAAATTTTAACTTGGACTTTCCTATAATCAAAACTCAAAAACATTCATTGCATTTTAAATAAAGAAAATTAAGCCCATTTTCAAGACAGTTAAGCATATTTTTGGGGTATGTTCTTGACTGGTTTTGAGCGATTCATCCACTTGTAGTTCTTCCTGTTTTTCTTCAGGTGTGGGTGACCTGCTCCATCAAACTCCACCTGGCGAGTACCTGAAAGGTAAAGACAGACAGCGAGCCGTGGTCAGTGCCATTCGCCAGCACCTCAAAAAGTCCAACAACCAGAACTTCAGCTCATTACTGGAAGCATTCAAATACTACGACAAGGTCAGCGGCTGTTCTCATTGCATAATTGCTTAAACTGCTCATTGCCAGTTTTACCAATTAGGCCTACCACTTTTCTTTGATGGTCTGTCTTGTGCTTTTTTAGCAAGTAAAAGGCCTTTTAGTAATTGTACAAATGTCCACCTTCAACTCGTGCTTCACATGTAATTTTTCTGTGAAATCTTTACTATTTTTATAAAGTAAACATAAGAATAACTTTTATACTGTTAGTAATATTTCAAGATGAACATTTATTGGACTGAAGCAACTTACAGGTTAACTTGATTATCCATACATAATTTTTTCATGTTAAAATGTGAGCATTAAAGGGGTCATATGATGCGATTTAAATTTTTCCTTTCCGTGTGCTCAATCCACTCAGCGCACATCAGCTATACAGGCATTAATATTGAATGTTTTATATTCATTGCATACATATACTTCATAGACATCTTTAATCTCTAATAACTCCATTCTGCTGTCTGTTGTCGGTGTTTCTTTGTCTGAATATGGCACTTATCACATGCTGTGTGGTATCGGCGTTTGGTATCGGGGCATTTTAACGAGTACGAGTACAGGAGCTCAGTATCGGGCCCGATACCGATACCAGTATCGGTATCGGTGCATCCCTACTTCATCTGATTTTACTTGATTATCCAGACATAATTATTATTATTTTTTATTAAATATCATCAGGCTTTTGAGGAATGTTTTTGTTCATCTCTTATTCATCAGCTTTGATCATAAAACTAAGCAGTTAGGTATCAACTTACTATGGTGTATTATTATGAGACATAGAGTGACAACCAATATTTAAATAATTGTATGTATAGTCTGCTTTACTGTTATAAAGATCTCATTGATTTACATTACAAGCATCAGAATTTCATCTTACTTTTTGGTCATAGAAATATCAGCATCTGCTCCAAACTGCATATTTTTCTCTGAGCCTTTGAATAAAACTGAGCTGTGTTTTTTCCCCTACATCATACTATAGGATAAAATATGAAATATAATACTCAACAAAATACTCACATGCAAACTATATATATTTTATCTAAAGGCTCAATATACCGTTCCATTTAAAAAAAAAAAAAATTATATTATTTCATATGCCAGGCTTTGCATGGTTAAAATTACACAACTAGAAAATGAAACTTAAAGTACTATTTTATAAGTTTCTTCTGATTGCTTCTCTTTAATAGATGATCACACATACGGTGTACCAACTGTACGGGCCGATCTACCTGCTCCTCGTATCAAACGTGTCAGCGACAGGACAAACTACGGAGACGAAGCAACGGCACATAATCTGCTGCACCCCCCCTCTGCATTCCCTCTACGGAGTCCATGAAAAATAGTTTTTTAGTCCTCGCACTAAAGATGAGGTGAGTTTCGGATGACGGTCATGCTGCATTATGGTTTAAAGTGATTTAAGGCTGTCCAAACAATTATTACAAATGGACTAAAGATGTATTGCATTTCACTCATAGATTGCACAGATATTCCAAAAAGTGGGTCTCAACGTTGCTGAGAAGACGTTTGAAGAGGCCTGGAAGTTGGCTTCCATGAGACATCCTGCTGGTGACGTATGTGTGGAAAGCTTTCGAAATGTGCTTGGTGAACTACGGGCAAATTAAACTCAACATTTGAGTATTTTAATTTAATTTTATTTATAATCCACCGTTAAATAAAGACTTGCATTAAAAAGTGTGTTCCTTAAGAAATTAGTTTCAACTTGCAAGCAATGCTTGGTGACACCCAGTGTTATTTTAGTATTATTTCCATTATAGTTTTTATTTATCTTTGGAATTACTTTTTATTTTTATATTTTCTCTTTTCACTTACATTTTTGTTAAACAGTTAATAATTTTTTGCATTTCTGACATTTTTATTTGTCTATATCTTTATTAACTTTATGAACAATTTTATTAATAATTTATTATTATTTAGTTCAAGTTTTTAAACTTTTTTTAAAATGGTTTTAGTTTAAGTTTTAGTTAACTATAAAAACCCTGGTGACTCCATAATTCAAAGTTTGCCTTCATTCAGATCATTTAGGAGAAAGTAACATCAAAAAATGACAAGTAAAAGCAGGTGAGGTAAAGCTCTAGGTGCCTTTCATGGGAATAATTAGGTAATATGATAAATGCAGAAATTGCCTCTGGAAAGGTTTGTTTCATTTGTACAATAATCGGTGTGGACACACTAAACTAGTAATCATTACTACAGCGTGAAGTGGGTTCAGACCCTCATGACTTCTGCAACTGCAGTATTTTATTAGTTCAGATCCATTATTGGGTCAGCGGTAATTTCGGCCATGTTATTTGTTTAATTTAGTCTCTTGTCAAATGAAGCAAAGTGCTGCAACGGGCCTGACTGCAATAAGAAGTGCCCTCAACGGAGCGTAATAATAGCTCAGCTTAGTAATGAATTTTTGCCTCCCAGGATAGCATTATTGAGTTTACTTGAGTTTACGTATGCTGCATTTAGAGTTTGAGAGAGATGGAGATTGCTGTCAATTACCATTTTCTCCCAAAGGACTTTATCACACACTGATGATAAGTGGGAGTCTGTGTGTGTGTGTCTTTGTGTGCTTTACCCAATATAGTTTGGGCAAGTGTTGTAATCTGTTATGAATAATAATATTATTTGCTGCCTGGATATTAGTATACACCTATTCCTTTGCTGGTTATCAGGTAAATTATTACATCTCTTGGACTAGTGAATCTCAATCTCTTTTGTTTGACACATTGAACATATTAATACACATCCTGCTCCTTTTCACAATCCAATCCATATTCTATAGTTAAAATGAAGTCCTGCCCAACATTTTGCCTATCCTGTCACTTGAAAATATGTCAGATTACAGAAGTGAAATGGGTTTTGAGCTGCATTTCATGTTGACTTTTAAACGCACAAGAGTAGAGATGAATTCATCTGCCTAATTTGGCAACATCAATATAACCCATCAGAAATATGAGTTAATGTTTAGTACAATAAAGAGATTAATAATAACAGCAGAGTCCCTAATCCATGATAAAAGCCTAGAGGAGTGCAAAATAGCTTTGTAAAGCACATTAATGCTTATATTTTCTTTTGTTCAGTTCACTTGTAGTTGAAGCCAGCGTGATTAATTGCCTAATATGGTATTAACATATTTATTTCAATTGAAACAGGAGGTATGATATTCACTGTTAATCATATTATGACTTGTTTGCACACATGTGACAAAACACCCACGCAATTTGAACAGAACAATCCATTACTGCCTGCAAAAATTATAATAATCCCACAGCCATATTTCTAAATGATTTAATGAATTTCAGTCAACGATAATTCGATGACTTCCTGTAAAGCCATGAATGCATAAACAATGACATGCCATAAAAGAGTTTTCCACAGAAATAGGATGACATCCACGCATGGGTGAGAACGTTTTCCTGTCAGTTTAACAAAGGATTTATTTTAATATCTAAATTAGGTGATAATTGGTCTCAACAACCATCTGTGGTTCTCTATGCGCTGAACATATCAAATATCATAATTAATTGTGGTTGTTTATCTTGTTGCAAATCTCATTAGCTTGATCTGAAAAAAAAGTGACTTTTTCAGTACTGTTTTGGTGAGGAATCAGTTTAATTCCAGTCTCTGCTTAATGGACGTGCACTAGACAAAGATTTGACACAGAAATTATGTTTTTGAAACTTGGAAAATGCAGCTCTGTAACGAACTTTCGCCCTAATTAATCACATGACCCAAGGACATCTGTAACATTTTTTAAAAATCGACTGAAGTCACTAATATCAATATAGATGTTTTATAAAAGCCAAGTAAATGAAGCCAGTTTTCAAGATGTTGTGAGATTTTTATGACAATAAGGCACATTTAAAGCCATCTCATGTCATTCCCATTGCATGAGTTTATTTTACTCTGATTTTTAATAAAAAAGAAATATCATTGCATCCTGACAGATCTTTCTCATTGCATTACAGTGATGAGAATTAAATTTTGTCCACATAATAGACAATTTGGTTGTGAAACTTGCTTATTTATGAAAATGCAGAAAATCTTAATGGTTCAGAAAAAAATGGCTTCATTATCTTTATGCAATACATTTACAATGTCAATTTCAATTGAACTAAACTTTGACTAATAAAATTTTTTTTCACAACAACAACAACAATAAATATAGCTGCAAGCAGCAATCACGGGGCCAAGCACTCCAGAGGCAAATTGAGGAGCTAAGCATGGCATGGAGCATCAGACCAAATGCAACAATGAGTAATAAAAGCAATTTTAGGATGATTGTAATTGAAATGGCTGAAAAATCATAAATACAACCACTAGTAATGTGATTAAATGGCTTATCACTTTTGACCAACAGGTGGCGCTGTAATCATATAGTTTTGGTGTGTTCTGTATGAGGTGGCAATGGCACACACAAAGTTTGTTTGGCATTATGTCAAAGCTTTGAAGAGATATAGCCTCAGAGTCATTTTGGCACCATACCTAAAATTTTCAATATAAATCAAAATGGCGGACAGGAAGATCAGCTTACTCTTACATTGGTATGTATGTTGTCGGCATGACCCATGGAATATTTTTAGACCAGTTTCATTGCAATAGGCTAATGCAATAAAAAGTTATTAGCATTTTTGTAAATGTAATCATTAATGGTTAATGAATGGTTTATTACTCTTGACCAATAGGTGGCGCTGTTACCAAATTGATGTGGCGTGGTCAGTGTGAGGTGACAATGGCACATACAAAGGTTGGTGCAAATATGTCAAAGTTTCGCAGACATACAGCCTCAGATGCAATTTGGTATCTTTCCAGCAAATTCGTTGATGCGCTAAACGAAAACCGTTTCGTATATCGACACGAAATCCATAACTTTTTGCCAGCTTGGTCTGAAGATGATCCGAGTCAAATTTGGTGAAAATTGGACTAACGGTCTAGGAGGAGTTCGAAAAAGTAGGTTTTCAACATGTATCAAAATGGCGGACAGGAAGTTCAGCCAATTATGGCAAAAT